TATATATATATATATATATATATATATATATATGTATGTATGTATGTATGTATGTATATGTATATGTATGTGTGATAGAAAATTATTTATATAAATATGTAAAATTATATGTTAATCTTACATATTCTAAATCACTAGCCTATTAATGGGTTGAATGTTCATTAGACAGTTAACACTTAAATGCATATTTAAATATGCATTTGAGTTCTAAAGGCTGTTTGTGTGATATAATTTGTATTAGAATGTCATTTCTGTTCCGGTGTGCCAGAGATCATCTTTAAGGGCTTTCAGCAGCCTGCCTTTATAAATAGGCCAGAGTTTCAGAGCCCAACTCACCCTGACAGCCATATCAGCTCAGCCTGCTTATGAATACAAAGACTGTTACTGACAACATTTGCAAGCTCTCTATGATTGTTTTGGATTTGGCTCACATGCATTTAACGCCTATAAATTATTGCTTTTTCATGTTTATAGTCATAACGTCAAATTCGTGCCAAAGCTACTGTTTTGATTGACAGGGTTATTCTGTTGAAAAATGTTGGTTTCCTGTGTCTTACCTCACACAGCATTGTCATTGGCTAGCTAGTCAATGCATGTATGGATTTGATAGTTTCCCAGATGTTAATGGTTAATGCTCAGAATTTTTATGCTAATGTGGCCTGCTTGGGAAATTATCACATTGTTATTTGTGCTGCACAAAGAGAAAAATGTTTTTGACATTTAGAGGACACAATCTCAGTTAATTACGGTTTCATCAAATGCATATTCTGATGTACCACTCATATATATTTTACATTCTGTTGGGCTTATTTGTTTCAGCAAAATAAATCCCCATTTTTTGCTATCCAATTCCAAATCACTATATTCAATTAAAAAACTCCTTCGCTCCTACCCAAAATGTACATCGAACTGTACCTCAATACTTTCTAGGCAATTTCCTGATATAGGAGAATATTTAGTGTGTTTACTAGTGCTTTGTAAACTGATTTGTTCTGTCAGTCAGACACCAACAAAATCAAAGAGCTTTCATTGGCTCCTAAAACATGAAGTGCGTAATTTCTCTTGTGCCCTGGCAAACCTAATGATAGAGATCACTACTGGAATATTAATGACATGAGGAATCTCCCATTTTCTCTCTGACTATCTCCTTCTCTTGTATTTTAATTCCTCTGTAGAAATGCTGCTTCTGACAGCTTTAAATCATGTTTTTAATGAGATGATATAATGGGATCTGTTTCATTGCATCTCCGATTTGGTGGATTGTGTCCAGATGGAGGCTGATGAGATACTTTAATGTCAGGATTGATTTTCTCAGGGCCAGTCGCTTTAGTTTGTTTTGTGTTTGCTTGAGGTCTGGCTGTCAAGTCAGTCAATTAATGCGAGTAAACAGTAGTTTACATTGTAGTTACTTTGTAAACTACTGTAGCCCAGCTGTTGTGATGTCTGTTAATCAAAGAACAAAAGAAAAAAGAGGAAATCAATAACTTTTGCAGTCTTAAGGATTCATCTATATTTAATTTAGAATTTAGTGTTTGATAACTTTATTCAATTTCTGTATATTTCCTACTTGCTGAAGGGCACAGGTAGCTAAATATGACATTTATTATAATGGGTTTATGTGAAGATTGTTTTAAGTTCATTTTGGAGCCACAGGTCGTAACAAAATGGGGGCTTGTCCTTTTTGTATTTATTCATGCTAACGTCTTTTTCCTTCATTTTGTAATTTTCTTCATTTCCCTTCATTTTCTTGAATCAACCCTACTGAAAGAGTATATTATCGTACTGATTTCACTCTTTTTCTCTCTCAGAGCTGGAGGCGAAGGAGGCCTGTGACTGGCTCAGAGCAGCGGGGTTTCCTCAGTATGCTCAGCTCTATGAAGGTAATCCAGATCTCATCCCACAAAAGTCCACTCATCCCTCCATTTCCACACTATTATCTGTCTCTTTCATTTGCCCCTTAGCTCTGCTCCTTTGTGTGACTCAGTGTTATTTTACTATTTTCTTTTCTATTTCGGTTTCCCTCTATTTCGTTCCTTTAGAAAGGTGCAGAGATGCTCCCTCCCGCTTTGTCTCTGTTCATGTCCATGACTGAATGGATGGAAGCGATTCACTGCAGAAAGCTTCAGTATTATTTTGTTTCAGGCTTAGTGATTGGGGAAATACATGCGAAACCAGACGGCTTTTGGTTCAGATCCCTTTTGGGTTGTGAGTGTAAAGCCATGCTGAACCAGTAGGAGTTCCACAGCACTGCTCTGAAGCAACCAACACAGGTGTTTCAGATATTCAGAGCTTGTTTTAGTCCTGCTAGCCTGCTTCCCTCACCCAGAGATTGATTTGTGCCATTTCACATACACTGATGTTTAACAAATCTGGAAAGCTCATGCTGGCTCAGTTCACAGGTTACAGAAACAGAAATAATTCTGGGGGAAATTCATTTTAGTTTAAAATAATTGGCAGATTCACCCACAGAAAAATTCTGTCATCACATACTCACCCTCATGTCAGTTCAAACCCTCTGACTTACTTTCTTCCACAGAACATAAAAGAATTTCCTGGTCACCTATTTTCCATATAATGATAGTGAACGAGGACAGGTGCCGTCAAGTTCTACAATGGCAAAAAAAAAGCACAAAGTGTGATAAAAGTGATTTATGTAACTATATTCCAAGTCTTCTGAAGCTGTACGATATTTTTGTGACACTAGGCATGCACAATATAAACATTTAGATATTTCACATTTGGATTACCTTTGCCGACCATCATCTAACACTCACTTAAATCAAATCTTTTAAAATGCTAATATTTTAATAACACTTTTAAATGCAATCTTTAGCAAATCCCAAAATCGAATTTTCATACTGTACTTAATAATATGATGCTTAAATTAACTTACAGTAAAGTTACATTAATTTACAATAAACTTACAGTACAGTTGGTACAGTATGTTTTTAAACAATACAATACAATACAATCCATTGAAAGTATTTCATTAAAGGGGTCCTATTATGCTCTTTTACTAAGTCTTGATTTTGTTTTGGGGGTGTACTAGAACTCGTCTCGTCTGATGCACTCACTCAACCAAGCGTTCTAACCACAACCTCGCCCCTCCCCACACCCCAACCATTTGAATTTCTGTAGGCGGGAATTATTTTTAATGATATTCTAATGGGCCGCTTTGTGATATCACAAAGCCCGGAAAACAAACGCTGTAGTCCAAACGAGCCGTTCGTTGTAGTTCTTGAAAAGGGATTTTTTAAAAACGAAATATCTCCCTTTGGAGTGAATTTTGAGATTTGTAACTTTCTAGATCTTTTTTTATGCCCAAACATACACACTACACACTGACTAAAATTAAAAAAGTGCAAAAGCATAATAGGACCCCTTTAAGTGTTTCATTTTTATTATTTGTTTTTTTTTAATCTGTGAAAAAAACAAAACCAGAAACTCTATTTTAGCTATTTTTAAACTCATTTGAGACCTTGGCAGACCATATCACACTAAGTTTTTTTTGTTTGAAGTGATGTGTTGGTCTCAAAAGTCCACACTATTAAGTTTCTTTACTTCCTGATGTTTTTACTCGTATAGTACCTGCAGGATTATGTCGGTGATGCTGTGTGACCCAGACGATGACGAATCCACAAACAAGTTCTAATATTAGCCTACTCCGATTTCACTGGCAGGGCTGAACCTGCACCTGAATGCAGATAAATCTGATTTTTGTTTTAAGATCACACCTCAGTAGGCTTCACGCTCATGAATATGAAATAAGGAACAAATGTCTCGAAAAAAATAAAAGTGTTTTTACTAGCCCTTAATAATAGAAAATAGTTTTTTTTGTTGTTGAAATTATGGCTCTGTGTTCATTAGTGAGCCAGGGTTCTGGCAGGTCTGTTGTTTCTTATGTCTCTTAATCTTCTTAATCACTTTTCATCTTCCTAATTATGCCTTCCAATGCTGAGAGCATTTAAAATGTTAATTAAAGATGAAAACAGGATGACGGATGAAAACAAGACTGTGAGAAATAGAACTGGTCTTTACAATGGTAGGCGCTATATAAAGATCCTATATCACATGTCATTTCAAAGCTGTTTTAAAACAGTTTTTGTTTTACTGAAAGTCATTTGGAAGGATGTTTCATCAGCTGAACGATTGGTACAGTATGTTGTTAAACAGTACAATCCGTTGAACACACTGTACTTCTATCACTCGCAGCCTCATTTTCATTCCTGTCAAAAATTAAATGACTAACATCTACAGACACAAATCTACTGTACATACAGGCTATTGTATCGCATCATTCTGTTTTTCTGCATCTATCAGCAGGAGTGCTGCATTTTTAGAATGCAGTATCAAGTTAAATGCAGAAACTTGGGATGCATTATAATTACATGCTGATATTGATTATCAGCTGATATTAGCATAATTAAATTTTTTATAATTAAATAACAATGTTAAATGTAATCTTCAAATCTCTAGATGATTATCCATTTTTCATACATCACAATGAAGTTCTTGGTTATATTTATATTTATTTTTTATTTATTTATTTTTACCATAATTTTAATATTAGCCATTTATCAGTTATTAACAATAACAAAAATAATTATCAGCTAATCTGTATTAGCCAGAATTGTAATATTAGAGCATTGCTAGTAATAGTAAAAATGTGTCTCGAGAACTGTGATTAGCGCCACTATTTTGCAAGAACACGTTCTTGAACTGCTCTATTCTCATTCTAAGCTATTGGTAAGTGTGGTCTGGAAGGGACACTTTGCCTGCAGTAGCACATGGGTTTTTCGTTTCCGCTTCAAATATATAATATATGTTAAAGGGTTAGTTCACCCAAAAATGAAAATTAGCCCATAAATTACTCACCCTCAAGTCATCCTAGGTGTATATGACAGTTGTAAACGGAAGCAGTTCCGGGCGGATGACGTATGGAGGTCGGCTTTGCGCATGCGCCTCTCAGAAGTGACGAACGCGGAAGCGCAGCGGAGAGATTAAAACAAAACAACGGTCACTTATTAGAAGTACAAAACGAGGATTTGTAAAGAAGAATGTCGAATTGTAAAGATTTCGATATAAGCCAAGAGGAGACTGGTTTTCCTTTGCTAAAGCCTTTGTTCACCCCCCCAGAGCCGTGTGAGACACTTTTTTATTATGGATGGGCACTTTTTATTTAACTACTTTTGGACTGATGCATGCAACACCCGCTGAGTGGCATTAAACAGCTTGAAAGATCAAAGACCATTTTTAATTGGATTCTGGATTCCTGGATTCGCAGTTATATTAAAGAAGAAAGAAGAAGAAAGTCATATACACCTAGGATGACTTGAGGGTGAGTAATTTATGGGCTAATTTTCATTTTTGGGTGAACTAACCCTTTAATATTAATGTTATTTTTTAAATAGCTAATCAAACTAATTAATTAATTGTGTTTCTCAAACAAATAACTATCAATTCTGCCACCTGCACACTGATAAAAATTTAAAAGCCGAATGCAGCAGCACTTCCATTCACTTGTCTCATATAAGCATCCTGACAAACACCTGTCATCTGCTTGGCTTCCTCTGACAGAGTTGTGTATTTTCCTGCTGCATTTCACAGACTAAGCTGGCAGTGCCCTGACCCACGTTGGCTGTGACAGAAACAGAGATGTGCTGAATTAATAATACGCCAGTTCCCAAGACATTCCCGCTGTTCACGCTGTAGGTCCTGTATTGGATTTTTTTGAAACCAACATATATCAAAGCGAACTTGGATTCATTCATCCTCTTGACATTTGCATAAAAATAACTTTAAAGGGAGATGTGACGTTAAAAAAAAAGCAAGACTTTGATCCATCAACTGATCACAGAATAACTGCTCTGAATCGGTATAGGTCAGTGTTGAGGCATTCTGTGATCTCTGCTGTGTGTTGATGTCCAGTTTCAGCATCACAGTCAGCGGTTTCCCACTTTTATCTCTGTATCATCCCCTGAGGCTCCATTAAAAACTCAATAATCAGTGCTGTGTTTTAAAACAGCAGGGATGCTGGTCTGTTCCTTGTCTCTTTGCAGCTGTTGAAAATAGGCCCATGTGTAATAACCGAATGGCAATAAACATTGATTTATTGGGAAAATAAATGAGGACAATTGTTGTCAACTTGGGTTTTAAGGCTAAACTGCCGCATAAACAAACAGATTGGTCGGGCTTCCCTAAACCCCCCACCCCCCCAAAAAGTCACTGCATTTCAAAAGAGAAAAGGGATTGTTTTATATTCTATCTCTACATATATGCTTGAATTTTTTAGGAAAACAAAACATTAAATGCGGTAAAGTGGTCTGGATGCTCTATTTTTTGTTATTTGTTCATTCATGTCTGGAATTTGAGTAACAGCACTGATTGGATATTTCCCTCGAACAGAGTATAAAATAGAGAAACTTGTGAAGTGTTTGGCAGTGTGTAAGTAAGTAAACTCGTTGGTGTTCCTTGAACTCCTGTCATAAGGACACTCATAACCAAGACATTTTGAGAGGAAGAGACAAATAACTTATTGTTCTCGGATAAACAAAAGAAATGGCAGCTTTTAATGTTCATACTGACACTTCATGTGTCATGCTGTATTGTATACTGTAGAAATGCCTAGTTTGACTTAAATGTGACTTTGTTTGGCAGCAAGTTGATTTTCTTTTGTTCTTGTGGTGTGAGCTGAATTCTTTCTGGCAATCTTCCTGCACTACTGTCATTAGTTGGACCTGCAGCTCAGAGGGGAAGGAGGTTGAAACAAAAGCTGGAAACGGGACACATCAGCAATGTTGACGCAATCAAACACACACCTCCTGCCCCTCGCTCTCTCTCTCTCACACACACACACACACACACACACACACACACACACACACACAAACAATACACAGGTGTACACACACTACACTCACATTCTGTCTCTCTGTTCCATCTAAAAAAAAAAGTGCTGCCCTGGTTATTTGTCAGTACATAATGGTTTTTAGCTCGTTTTTGAAGAACATCATTGATACCCCGTAAGACATGACTGCCGTCACAGTGTATGCACTTTTTAGAGCAAGGTGCTTCAACTTTCACCCAGTGTTCTCTCTTTTTTTCAGACCCCTTAGTGGATAGATGGACAGAGCATCTGTAATACGCACATTTAAATAACATTAAAAATAATCATTACATAAACGTCAAGTCATATTTTGATGTTACTTAAAGCTGCAGTCCGTAAATTTTGCCTCTTTGTCGCCATCTCTGTTTGAAAACCTGGAATTGCAGTTACTTGCGGAATTATCTTCCTTGCATGAGTTGTACTCTGGCAGGGCTCCAGCACGAATTAATCTAATGTTTTGAGGACGGAGTATGTGTGGCAGTCAGTCATCGTACCGATGTGAATCCTATACTTAGTAATCACAGATTCTAGCCCACGTCTTGGAATATATGACCCAAATAAGAATTTTCACCGGATATTGTCATCTGAACAAGTAACATGTCTGCCACGTTTGTTCTGACCAACTGAAGAAAAAAGCATTACAATAAATCGTGCTACCGCTCGAATTTCCTGCGAAAACCTACCCGTACCACTCAAATTAGAAAACATTATTATAAGCTAACCGTTGTGAATCTGGCTAAAGTAAGGCGATAGTTTTGAACACTGGCTGGTTATGTACTTGCTCAAATATTGATTTTGGATAATTTTTAAACAAAAAAAATTACGGACTGCACTTTAGCTGAATTTTAGCTTCTGTATAAGTAACTTATTGTACTTTTAACACTTTTTCATTTTTTTTTTCTTAACCACAAAATTAGTGATCAAACAAAAACGGGCGAAAGCCCCGTAATACCACCATAAACCCCCAAGGGGTCATAGTACCCTGTTGAATAACTAAGCTTTAGAGAGTAGCAATATATTTTTGTTGTACATGTGCTCAAAACACATTATCCTTTGACCTTTACCTTTACGTCTCAATCTCATCCTGCCACACCCTCGCTCCACTTTCCTGTCTACTCTCTATTGTCCTCTACAAACAAAACAAACAAACAAAAAACTTTCACCATAAAACTATAATTATATGTGTAGATTTTGGGGTGGACCTCTGTCACCCTGAAAGAAAATGTAGGTTCTAAGGGTTTGCATTGACTTTTTTGACTTCCTGGACTTTAAAGTGAACTCAAACCTCTTTTTTTAGTTCACACTCACACTGGTTTTTTAGGATACCAAACAGTTTGAATGTAATAATAATAATAATAGTAATAATAATTGTCATTTTATCAGTGCCTTCCATAACACTCAAGTACACCTTACAGCATCAAGTAACTAGTCAGCAAATTAAACAACACTTAATATATACAAGAAACATATGTATATCAATTTTATATATGTAGATGTAAATGTATGCTAATGTTTATTTGTTATAAGTGTTTTGTCTCTGTACATACTGTCAGACAACTTTTCTCATTTTGTGTATGTTCATGATGACCACATGCAAACACATTTTGTCTGCATCATCATGTAAAGGTTAAAGTTGACATGTCCTGTGATGTTTGTGTGATTAATCTTCCTTCCTCTTTTTCTCTTTCTCCCTTTTCCTGACCACTGGATTAAATGTTACATTTGGTCTCTGTAGGTTTTAATTACCCCTATTATAAAGTTGAATGAATTAATTAATTGTGGCGTTTCCTGTGTGCCTTCAGCCTCTCTGTTCCCCATTGAGATCTCTGCTGTGAGGAGAGACCATGAGTTTCTGGATCACGACTCTCTCAAGGCATTATGCAGGTGAGAAACCATTGCGTTTTCACTTACATATTAATTACGGTGCTTTAAAAATATTCCATCATGTACAAAAATTCATTCTGGTCTGTGATTCACTCCCTCTATACCTGACTGCACTATGGCATTCATCACGGTGGAATAACACATGATAAAATTTCATAAAGTATACTTATAATAATGTGTTTATGACATGCGTTTAATAATATGAGTCACATGTCATGAGGGAGTATCCGTCATTTTCATTATCTCCAGTCACCATGGCGATGGGCCATTTGTGTCAGCAGGCCTTGCTTTGCTTCATTGTTCTGTATATTTATTTTTTATTCTCAGCTTTATTCTTTTTCTTTTCACCCTTCAATATGGAATAAGTGATTAAGTGACTGGTCACACCTGCAGAAGTCACATTGGAGTGAATGGCCTTTTCTAAAAGATAAGGAATAAACAGAGAGGGGCAAATTATATTTCGCAGGGTGCAACTGGTGTCACCAGTCCTAAGGTGATAGAAGAAGAGAGAAATGGAGATTGAATATACCATTTGTCCCACAGTGGCTAGTTACACACTGTATGCTTGGCTGCTAGCTACTGATAAAAAACATCAGGGTGGCTTGATGAATTAAGAGAACTGAAACACACACACACATAGCTGAATCTGAAATACTAGAACTCTAAATTATACGCATCGCATGTCCATAGTTATCTATATTTAAAGCTGTGAAGAACATGAAGCTATATTTGTGTGCCTCCAAGGGCTGGATTGTTTCCAAAATTTTGGATTCAATGCGACAGTACTAAACTGATATCCTATACTAATAAACAGCCTCAGGCACTTGATGAAAGAAACTAGGACATTTAATTGATTAAATAATTCAACTTCCATAATTCTAATTAATTTCATAATCATGTTGTCATTTTAATGTAAAATGTAATATATGAGAACACCATTAAATGACAGCTGCAAAAACATCTGTTACGTATATGAGTGTGGGAAAAGATGTTATATTTGGTAGATACTATTTAGGGCTGGGCAATATGACAATATTATCGTTTATCGACGATGTCTCATAAGTATCGCGATGTCGATGTCAACAGTCAGGTAACAGACGATTATCGACATTTTCGGAAAAAATGACAAATGATAAACCTAAGTTGCAAAAAATATTTTACATAGCCCCATAGTCACCATACAGGTCTTTTTGCATGCAAGAATAAAATAATTTAGTAGGAGGGTTGGGAATCGAAAAGCTATTCCACATTCGGAAATTAGATCAGATGCGTAAGATCAGGAATCAAATTACTTGTTATAAAATTAAATTTCAATTCTGCTTCTCGATTCCTGTATGCGCATTTATTGTGATTTCAAAAGATTCAACAGCAAGAAGACGAAATAGAACTCACTTCTGCACTCGTGCGCTGTTTTCTGTGCTGCGCATACACACACACACACACACACACACACACACACACAAAGCGCACTCACAAAAGCCGCCTCTACGCGAACACTGGACTGAGCTCACTTTCTCGCATTCTTACACATTCGAATAGACATATAAACAAAATTATATCAAAATATCCCATAAATACAATCGGTTACAGAATTATATTAAAATACCCCATAAATACAATCAGTTATGTCTTAAGTGGAGAAAGAAAACAAGGGTGTATTGGATCCGTGCATTGACAGCAGCCGCTGCCGCTAGTCATTGTAATGTTAATCAAAGATCAAAAGAAAAGAAAATCCCTCAGTGATCTTGACTGAATCACTTTTGTAACCTCAGTTTATATTTTATTTGCCTGTTGTTCAGCGCTGACTGACTAAACAGACTGTATAATGATTAAAAACCACAAACATGACAGTTTTAATTAAAATACGCAAATTCCTTCAGCGCACATTTCAGTGCAATATTTTTACAGATTTCTTTTAACAGTGTATACAGTATAATTATGTTTTATTAAGCTGAGATATAGCATTATACATTCTTAATTCATTTGCAACAAAACTATAAAGTTTTGTTGCAAACGGATGAAGACTTTAGGCTTCTCAGCTCGCCCCTCAACATGCATGCGTTTGGAGTTTCGGCAGCCCAACACTGAATATTATATTGTGGGCATTGTATTTTGACATGACAGTTTTAATTAAAATACGCAAATTCCTTCAGCGCACATTTCAGTGCAATATTTTTACAGATTTCTTTTAACAGTGTATACAGTATAATTATGTTTTATTAAGCTGAGATATAGCATTATACATTCTTAATTCATTTGCAACAAAACTATAAAGTTTTGTTGCAAACGGATGAAGACTTTAGGCTTCTCAGCTCGCCCCTCAACATGCATGCGTTTGGAGTTTCGGCAGCCCAACACTGAATATTATATTGTGGGCGTTGTATTTTGATTAATAAAATAAAAATTATAAAAATTACAATACAAAAATTTAATTTAAATTACCCCTGCTTCTAAATAAATAGAGCAGTTATTTTTATTTAGTTAAAAAATGGGCCAAAAGAGACCTCCGAACTAGTAGGCTACCAGAAAATAAAGAAAAAAAACCTTAACGTTTTTGCTCAGAATTAGTTTTTAATCCCTGCATGATTTTAGTCATACATGATAAATATCAAAAAGAAAGAGAAACATCAGAAAACAGGCATATTTTATTCAAGAAATTACTATATGACATCAGCATGCATTTATCATTCTTACAATCACCGCCAGAAAGTCCAACTTCACCATGATGAACCTAAAATCGGGTTCGACCAAACTGAACATGGTGTGTGTTTATGGTGCATGTCGGCAATGTTGTCTCGGCGGGGGCGGGGCGTGGTGGAGTTGGGTCTTAGGTAGGCATGGGCCGGTAGGTTATTTAATTTTAGTTATATAATTCATATACATATAATTTATATCATTTAGTTATATCATTTCATATACATAATTTGATTTGAAGCAAAAACAGAATGTTCTGACTAGTTTTGTGAAATTATACTACATGCCTGAACGAAACAAACAGCAGCTAGATGCTCTGAATGAGACGCATATTCACTCTCTGACGGCAGGAGGCACTTCTCAAACACCAGATACAGTGTTTCCTTGGTATTTTCACATAAATGACATTTTGGAAAACGACTGCATTGCAACGCAGTTTGTGCAAGTCCAGAACAGAGACGAGTTGCTTGCAATAAGACAAAAATGGGCGGTTGCCATTCACGTAAGTTCCAGGGGAAGCTCCTTAAATTTGCCCATCCTACACACACGTGACTGACCGCTCGCTCGCACCAACAGGAGGAGCAGGGTCATGTTACTCTCTACACTGCACTCAACCTGAGGGATTCCTACACTTTCAGTCTTTGAGGAGACATGAAAAACAGCGCATACCACAGGAACGGTATAACGGAAAATATTAGCGGTTTTGAAACCGTGAAATTTTCAAATTGCGGTATACCTCGAAACCGGTAATCGGACCATGCCTAGGCTTAGGTAGACGATATTATCGGATATCACGGTATTTTTAAGGCGATTATCGATAAGATATTTTTGACATATCGCCCAGCCCTAATACTTTTATCCAGAGCGACTTACATTCAGGGTATACACTTTATAAGTATCATACCCATTACGGTGCAGGGTTCTTCATCTTAAAATGTTTTAAATTCAGTTTGTTCAGTTGTTTTAAAGTCATAAAAAGTCATAAATATCTTTAATGGTATGATAAAAGTCTTAATTATAATTTTAAGTTAAATTTAAGGACAGAAAAAGGGTAATTCCAATACAACCAAATGTGATTATTAAACTTCAAAAGGTGATGATTTAATTAAATACTTACGAGCGCTGCATATTTCAAATTCAGTATGTGCTGCTGTTGCACATTCTAGAGTCGTGCGGTTTCGGAGCAGTTTACAGTCACCGATTAGATTAGCACACATTTGTGACAACCTATTGTTCATGATCTCCTATCGATGAATTATGACCATGTTTACTTTATGGACTTTATTGTAATATATTGTATGTGGAGATAAAATATGCACTCTTATAACCATCTTTTTGAATGTGCAGCTGGTAGTAAGGTAAGACATTTCAAAATATCAAGGTGTATTTCAGGCTTGTTTGTAAGTCCCGCATTATACTTTTTTCCCCCTAGATATGATTGGTATTTTGGTTATGCTGTATAATTTCATTTAATGCAAACTCTTGTAGCTTCTGTCTGGGTTGCCCTGCCACAAAAAGGAGAGGCTAAGACCATTATTTTACACATTCAATATATAGATTTGACTATATCCTATACTATATTGTTACAATAACCTGTTAATTGTCTTTCTTTAAACACAGTATCATGTAAAATCTGGTATCTCTTGACCTAAGTTTAGTATGTATTGATGTATCAGTACATATTGAATATAACATGTCTTGAGTATTTTAAGCTTGCAGTTAACCTGTTTTGCAATTGAATATATGCCCCAGTCTGTTTAATGAAGTAAAAGCATCTGAGATACATGATTTATTTTGATATTGTATATGTTTGTTCTGTATGGACATACAGTCCTAATTTTATTTATGCAGGTCTTAAAGTCTCAAATTTTAGAAACATTGTGACAGTGTAAAGCACCTTGCTTTAGTACTGGTATAACCCACAACCCCTAGTGTGCTTACTTTGTATTAGTATGTTATGTTGATTCAAAGTTCCTGGTTAAGGTGTTCACTCTTGCAACAGCATTATAAAAATCAATCTCCTTTTGCAGAATCAATTGTTGTATTGTTGTATTGAATGTATTCTGGCTGTCACACACTCAATGACCCTCTTGCATTAGTGACAAGATGAGCTCATCTGTTCATGTTTCAGCACCAGCAGGTCACTAGTGCACTTAAAAATCCCTGACTGTGTCTCTGTGACTTTGCTCCATGCAGAGCCTGTCTTGCTACTTGAGTGAATATGTCAGTGTGGCCATGTTAGCAAATAGCTTTAAGATGAGGTATACTTGGCAGTCTAGTTCATCAAAAATGCAGAGGTGAAATTTCATGCTATCAGTCAGCTGTTTACTGGAAACCGCTATGAGCCTTATTCATCTGGTAGTGCAAGTGTATTTTTGCAGGGCATTTTCCTTGACTAAATGTCTATACTGCTGAGGCAGTGACTGTAAGTGAACGAAGACATTTAGGTTGGAGCCATAGCCTAGTGGTTAGTGTTACATTGTGATTGTGTTGATTTAAAAGATCAGCGTCATAAATTAACCAGAGCTTAAAACAAGATTGCTACTAAAAGACAAAAATAACCAATATGTTTTATTTATTTATTTTTCAAGATTAAAAATCAGGTCTATAGGGAGAAGTATGCATTTATTATAGTTATTTGCCCCGAATAATTTTCTGTTCTCTCTCTTCTGTCTCTCTTAAAACAGTCTTTAAAAAGCCTTAAAGGAAGGAAGGACGACATTTGAATGTTTTTGAATTTGGATGGTCTAGTGCCGCCCTGCTGTTTTGTAAGATGACCAAAGTTCAAATTTACATTTATACATTCTGCAGGTGCATTAAGATTGCATTGAAGTTGTACATTTTATGAGCTCTCACATTCTCTGGGAATCGAACCCATGACCTTGGTGTTGCTAGTACCATGTATTTATGCTTGAGCTGAAAACAAAATCTGAAAGACACAATCTCACATGTTTTATCTATTTCCCATTATGGAGTTTCAGGTTTGGTCCCTATTCTGAATAATCATAATTTTTTAATTCCTTCGAAAAAGAAAGAAAAAGCAGACAAGCACACCAGCAAAAATCTAATCTAACGATGCACACAGCTGAAACTCTTTGTGAATGTTTGTGTGCTTGCGAGCGCCTTGCTAGCCTATTGTTAACGCTCTTTATTCTTATTGTCTTCTTACTCATTATTATTATTCACAGAGTAATTAGTTTAATATATTGATGTGCACAAACTCACACACTCTTTTGTTATCTGTATCTCAAATGCCACAGCGAACACACTCTCCTCTTGTGTGTTTGTGTTTTCTAGGATTAGTTTTGGTCTGTCATGCAAAAATAGCATTATGTCCAAAAGAAATCCTGTGGCCACTGGCGCCAAACACTATGGTGTGCCTATACATGCTACTACTGTGAGCATTGGTGCGAATTGACTCCATCAGTCAAAATGAATGGTCATTTATGCTTCTACATGTTCATACCGGCTGTTTTGGGCTATATTTCTCTGTCTCTCACAGTGTTTGTACTTCAACTCTGATGATTTTCACAGCTAAATCATGAGGTGACATTCATATACGCGATAATAATTCATCTTCTTACATATACACACAGGCAGAATGAGATCTCACAGCGTAAATTGAATGCACTAATTAACTGAGAGGACCAAATGCTCATGAACGCATCGCTTACTTGCGTGCTTTCAAGGCCACTCACATCGACTGTAAACTGAATGATAATCAGATAATGACATGGTGATGAATGCCTCTCTACCTCTAACAAAAGTTCTGTCATGTTAGAGCTGATCGGGCACAGATGGGGGGAGAGTGGTGTCAAGTTCAAACCATTCTAGAAAAGAGACATGGGCTTATAGATCACTCTGTCAAGTGTGGCATTAATGCAGTTGATCTGGGAGCATCATCAGGGCTCGGTCAACATCAAGAAAAACACACACAAACACACTCACTGAATTAACTTTGTGGCTTGGATAAATTGCTGACAGAATAATAACAAATTAAGCTAAATAGTGTCCATATTTGCATCACTCTTTTACTTTGTAATTTAGTCTTAACCACAAGAACATATAGTATGTACTTAAAATAAGCTGTAATTTAGCTGGCAATTTTATGCAATGTGAATAATAGTACACCAATTAAAGGGATAGTCCCCTTGAGGTGAACGGAGGTTAAATGTCTCGCTCAAGGACACACTGGCCCCATTAACACCTGATATTAACGTGCCTTTTAAATGAGGTTGGTATTTATGCAATTATGATTTCCAAACATTGAATGACCAAGAGAAGTCATATTTACTAGTGTGAAAGTCTCGAGTTCTTGATAATACATGAGTTGTCAAATTATGTTGTAAGGGGTGTGCCAATGTGAAACATGGTGGAAACAGATCTATAATATAGATAATTTCATACATATCTGTAATCTATATATAGAGATCAATGATCAGAAAGCAAGTCTGTAGTCAATGAAAATGAATGATTTTGCACATCATTTGAATTTTATTTTTAATCATTTTAAATGTGTGATGTACTGAGCAGCTAATACAAAACTAGTGAATGGTTTGCAATATGAAAGCAAAATATTTTTTGTTAAATACCACGTATAAAATGAATAATTTTCATCATTAAAGGGAGACTCCATTTACACCTGATTTTACTATACCAGATCACCACCTGTGAATTAATTTCAACAAGGGGGAGGGTTTTTGGTTTTGTGACACTGCGCATTTATTCACTTGGCATATGTTTTACAAAAACTGACTTTTCTCCGATGTCGATATTTGTGAAGTTTTGTATTTTGTAACCAAATTCTGAAAGGTTATTTTCATGTTTAAAAATTCAGCCTACCGCTATGCCAACCCGCCCCACCAACCAAGAATATACAAGCAAATTTCATGTGAATTTAAATTCTACAGCACTCAGATATGCTCTTCCTTGTGTCTGTGTGTGTGTGTGTGTGTGTGTGTGTGTGTGTGTGTGTGTGTGTGTGTGTGTGTGTGTGTGTGTGTGTGTGTGTGTGTGTGTGTGTGTGTGTGTGTGTGTGTGTGTGTGTGTGTGTGTGTGTGTGTGTGTGTGTGTGTGTGTGTGTGTGTGTGTGTGTGTGTGTGTGTGTGTGTGTGTGTGTTTAGGAGGCTAATAACCCTGAACAAATGTGCTGCGATGAGCTTAGAGGTTCATTTCCAGTGTAAACAGGTAAACAAACAAACATACCATCCACTTCTAATTCAATTATGTGATCTGATAGTTTGCAGACAACTGCTCTTTGCTTGTCTCTTTTCATTAGCTTTGACTTCCACTAGATAGTAGCTTTTAAACTTAATTTTAACAATCCTTTTAAAACTCATCTATGCCCTTGTGTTTTTGCTATTTTTAGTAGAGTGAATTCTGGTTCTATTGGTTAGCCAATTTTCTCCTTAATACTTTCAAAAATGGAGAAAGCTTTTCATTATCTAAGTGTGCGTGTTTGTGTGCTACTGTCAGCAGAGTGAGGACTCAGAGGAGGATGACGCATGCGCCCTTAGCTCCCGCTGGGCATTTCAGCGTGAGAGTAAAACTTGGTCCCGTCTCCACACTCTCTCACCGTCCCCTGTCCCCCCTGGCAACTGGGCCTCGACCTTACGACCCTCAGGCAGTAGCGATAGCGTGCTGAGTGACATTAGTCTCCTAGAAGTCACTTCATTGACCTCCGACCTCAGTGCTAGCAGCTTGAGCTTAGACAGTGCCCGGGAAACAACTTCTCCAGAGGTTGCAGCTTTTAGTGACGTCACAGTGGGTGAAGGAGCATCGTTAGTTTGCGTCTCAACAGGCCAAGATGAAAACGACGACACCGGATCATCATCATCTTTGCCGTCCATAAGAGAGAAGCCGAAGCGTCCTTCTAGATCTTTTTTACGGAGGAAGGAATCAGTAAAGAAGCGGGATTGTGAGAGAGAGACAGTTCCAAAGAGCATTTCAAAGGTAATTCAACACCAGCCACCCTCTGGTCTGCACTGTACATCCAACGCAAGTTTACCTGGTCAAACCACAAATAAGTGCAGAATTGCCAAAGATGTGGCATGGAGGTCACATACAATATGCCGCAGTAACGTTAGCCAGAAACACACTCTGCACAAGCCTCACAGAGAATGCCTTTACCTGGAAGACTACCAGTTAACTTGGGAGATGCCCAAGTTAACCAATCAAATCAACCGTCAGAGGAAAGAGGATCGTGTGGTCCACCTCCCCTTTGACCACAAGCCTGGAACTTTCCCCAAGTCTCTCTCAGTTGAAAGTCTCTGTCCGTTCTCTGTTTCTCAAAGTCCTGACCATACTGACTGGGCAGGAGAAGATGGAGACCTGTCCGTGGATGGAAGCGTTAGTCGCAGTGGGTCGCAAGACTTTCTCTCAGGTTTTGGGAGAAGGAGGAACTCTATGAGCTCAGTTGGAAGCATTTACGACAATGTTCCAGAGACACCAGGCAGTCCATGTGACATTTTTGACCGTGGAAAAGAGAAAGCCTTCCAGCATCTGGATGACATTCTACAGCATGTACATGGGCTACAGCACAACATCGATGAATGGTCGCGCTCGCTCGGCATTCAACCACAAGACCAATCGAATGTGGAGACAGAATCCACGACGGACACAACTTTACCCAGCAGTCTGAACGATGATGAGCAATCTATGTCGGATGTCGGGACGACAGTGAGCGATTATGATAGTCCAGGAAACTCTGTGAATGAAGGAGAAGGAGGAATGAGCGAGAGGAGGGACTCAGGGGTGGGGGCATCACTCACGAGACCCAACAGGTGAGTAAAACTGATGGTTAAATTAACGTAAGGTTCATTTAGGGAATTCTGGCTTGTCCACACTTGTGAGTGCAGTTAGCACTTATCCAGACAAGGAGTTTCTAGTGCTGTGAAAGAATGTGATAGAGAGCGAGATACATGCCACTCAATTTGTCTTTTGGTAAACTGTCTGGAGACGGTGACAGCTGTGTGTACCTTGAAAGCCTACTTGCAGCTCAACTGTGTTTGGGATTTAATTTTTTTCCATATTAAAAACATAATTCCACTTCACTCAAGCTCATCACTGATGAAGATTACAGGACCTATTATGGAACCTTGGGGTAAACCAAATCTGTTCACTGGAAAAATACATTTTCTGGATTTTTGTCTAATTCAGTCTTGGTTTGCAATAAAAGATATCTAAACATTCTTAAAATAAGATTTATTTACTACTTTATAAAGCAAAATTGTGCAAGATAATATTACTGTATATATCTATTTTAGTAATTACAGTTATCCTATTGGCAGTTTTTGTCTTTTAACAATAAACCTCACTAAATTTTATACTTGAGACGAAAAAATATGTGCCAGTTTGATAAGAAACACGTGCATTCTGAAAATAAGACTTAAAATCTTATGCACTTTGCAGGTTTTTTCTTTTTTTATGATTTATAGTTTTTAAGATACATTACAAAAGGGGAAAGACAGGAAAAAAGTGACAATAGAGGAAAAAAAACTTTTTTTTATTATTATTTAAAAAATACATAACAAGAAAAGGAAAGAAAAACATTGAGTACAGTTCACATAAATGCAATCCTACTATGTTAACCAAGCAATACAAAATTGGTAAGTACATAAAGATAAGATAAGGCAGGGCAGGGCAGGTCCAGAACATATGGATGAGTGGCTGAAACAGATTGACACCTGTCACACTCAGGGTCAATAGAGTGGTTCATGTGCACTAAACTGCTCTTAGAGCAACACACTGACTGGAGTAAGTAGCAGAAGAGGGAGGCACATTGCGATTTTAGGCAAATTTACTTTTTCTTAAAATCAAATATAATCAAGAACATTATTACAGTTTGTGGTATCATTCACCAGAGGTATTTTGTCACGTAAAGTTAATTTATTTCAAGAAGTTTACATGTGTCTCTTACATCCAAGAGAGTGAATGTGCCTGCCTTTATATCCATCTGTTTATGATTTCATTGTTGTAGTTTTTCCTCACACTTCCCTTTCTTCCACCCATTTCTCTATCCTTAGAAAGTTGCGCTGGCACAGTTTCCAGAACTCTCATCGTCCGAGCGTGACCTCAGCGTCTTTAGAAATCAACAGGCAGTCAGCTGCCCAACTCAATCTGCTGCAGAAATTCAGCCTTTTACGACTGACCGCCATCCTGGAGAAACACACAGACACCAGCAAACACGGCTGGAATTGGTGAGAAAGCACATTCGCACATACTCATACATTTTCACACACTTTCTAAATAACCCACAAGATGGTAGCTCAAGGCATGTTCCTCTCCCCAAAAAAATGAGTGATTTTGTACTGTGCACACATTGATGCGTTGGACACATTCTCTGACTCATGAGGTCAGTTGTGGCATTAATGCTCTCTTATGTCTGACACAGGAAATCTCATTTCTACCAAAAGTGTTTTTTAATGACACAATCAGTTGAGTAAAACAGCTCTAACAGATGCGGTTAATGACAGCATCTTTCTGTCTCTCTCTCTATCTGTTCCCCTGCTGGCTTTTTATTGCTTATGAAAATTACATTCCATATCCACCTCTGCCAACAGAGCTAAAATTACAGTTCTGTTTATGTACACACATGCAGATATACGCGCACACACTCTTCCGTTCTCCAGTAATTTTCAGTTTAGCATTGCAGAAACGGAGTGTAAATTGGTTTATAATTTTTGCATTTGTCCATTTTAAACTTCAGCTGCAGGAAACGGCTTCTGATGAGAAGCTTATAGGTCTATCAGACACTGTCATGGCTCGCAGATCTAAAGATGATTCATTTCATTCTGCACCAGTGACCGAGGAGGCATTATCTTTCCTCTTTCGTCCATTCCCACACACCCCACAGTTAAAGGCCGGCGTCAGTGTCATAGACAGCAAACAGATCCAATTTTCACACGGTTTATACATACTGCAATTCCAATTCCGCCTGCTGCGGTGATTTTGAATTTATCTTACAATGATATGACCTTGCAGGTTTTATTCTGGGCATCCATATATTGGATTCTTGTACTGTTGTGCTTTTTAAACCTCCTTTTCTCATTTATACATGAATATATTACATAATAAAAGTATATCCATATATTTGTCAATATATAAACATAAAAAATGAGTCTGTAAATAATTAAATAAATAATTAGAGTAAATAAATAATTGGATGATTCCAAAGTTTTGTACTGTATGATCCAAATAAAATATAATATAATATAATAAAAAAATGAATCCTTTTTTTCTCTGTCATTGGTCAGGGTGGTTCCGAAGTTTATGAAGCGTTCCAAAGTTCCAGATTACAAAGATAAATACGTGTTTGGAGTTCCGCCAATCGTAAACGTTCAGCGAACTGGCCAGCCTCTGCCTCAGAGCATCCAGCAGGCGATGAGATACCTACGCAGCCAGTGTCTAGAGAAGGTCTGTATGCAAGCAAAAGCACTCACACAGCCATGCAAACATCCCACCCCCCTTCTGCTTCTTATCTGTAATTCTTTTCTGCAGGTGGGAATATTCCGGAAATCAGGGGTTAAATCCCGAATTCAGGCCCTCAGGCAGCTCAATGAGAATTCCCCCGATCATGTGACCTACCAGGGCCAATCAGCTTATGACGTGGCTGATCTGATTAAACAGTACTTTAGGGATCTGCCTGAACCCGTGCTCACCTCCAAACTTACAGACACCTTTCTGCATGTGTACCAGTGTAAGTGACACACACACAGCCTCACAATTTTTTTTAATGCTTGCAAGTTCACTTTTTTTTTTTATGTACCAAACTCATCATTGCTTCAATCAGCTCTCTCCCCGGTGTGTATGTGTGTGTGTAGTCGTTCCAGCGGAGCAGCGCTTACAGGCCGTGCAAGCAGCCGTGGTTCTGCTGCCAGATGAGAACAGAGAGGTTCTACAGACGTTGCTCTATTTCCTCAGTGACATTGCATCTGCGCAGGAAAACCAAATGACTGCGGAGAGTCTGGCTGTCTGTCTCGCACCCTCCATACTGCACCTGAATGCCTCCAAGAAAGATGGCGCTTCACCAAGGTGTGTGTGAGTCAGGTTTTGCCTTCATCGCAGGACCAGCCAAGGTCCCTACGAGAAAAGTGACCTAACATAATAAGAAGTCAATGGAAAGGCCCCGACATAACAGAATGGAATAAGAAATTACTTGCTCAATTTTCCAAAACAACTAATTGTTGTCTATTGTGAACATCCTGATCTCTCATGGAATGAAATGTACCTGTTTTCCTGTCAATTTTTCTCTACTTTTGTCTTTTTTTTTTTTTTTTGGTCACTGTTTATGTTCGGTTTTGTTACAGGCTCATGAGCAGGAAGGGAGGAGCCAAACCAGACCACAAGGACCTGAGTGAGAACATGGCTGCCACACACTGCCTTAGTCACATGATCACTGAATGCAAGAAACTATTCCAGGTAACCACTTTTTAATTTCTGATGTCATGCCATTTTAAGTCATTTTGCATATCTTGTCTACATTAGTAGGGGCAGGATTCATTTGTGGGAACAGGGAGCAGCTTATTTTTGCACTGATCAGCTTTCTGTCACTGTTTCTTTCTGCAGATCCCGCATGAAATGATGCTTCAGTCTAGGAATTCTTATGTGGCTGCTGACGCTCAGCCGCTGCCTCTGCACGGGCTTGGGGTGAATGCCCTGGGCGAGCCAGTGGATTACCGGGCATACCTAGAAGACAACATTCAGTGTCTTCTCAGAGAGGCATCTGAGCGCAGTAAAGGCTGGCACCATGCCCACGGCCCCGACAACACTGAGCTGGCTTATAAAAAGGTAGCGATACTCTGAGAAGCACTAATGCGGAAGCACTACTGCAGTTTAGTTTTATGCCACACACACACACACACATATATATAATTTTAACAGTTCCACAATACATTATGACAGGTTCACACAACAAATACGGCAGGCTGTCCTCAACAAAGTGACTATGCATAAAGGTTACAGGTTTCAGTGACTGGGACTGGAGAGACTGTGGATGCAACTGTTTCCAGGGTCCTTCATCAGTCACAGCTTTAGAGTGGCTCTGGAAGAGGAGAAAGTCACTGCTAAAATGTCATGTGACTGATAATTTCTGGCAAACTAGCTGAGATGAGAAACAAGCTTGAAGAATGTTCTGTGGTTTGATGAAAATACATGGTTATCATAGAGGAAAGACACCTGCGGCTTGATTTAAATATATTTTCCTTAATTTTATTGCAGAATTTGTCTTGATTTCTTTCATTTCTGTTAAAAATTCATTGAAGGTGTTCAGTTTAATTCCCTCAACCACCATGCATGACACCATGCATGTTTGTGAGGTTCAGATATTTTTATTTTGACAGGAAATGCAAAACTATAAACTAAAAGACAGTAATGGTTTAATTACAGTAAAAGCGATGCTTGCTGCATTATGCTCATGTTGCGTCGTATCTTCTTTTTACGTGTTTTTGTAGAGTTGCGCATTAAAACAATCACAGACGATTTTGTTGAGCTTATGAATGCAATGTCTAATCAGAAGCGTTTAGATTAGTCATCGCTGAAACGCCGCGGAGGTTTGTTCAGTGCGCGTGCTCTCTGACTGAATTCATTTCACAGTGTAGACTGCTTCACAGGAGTTTTTTGCGAGTGCTTAAACTCACACTAGATTTAAGTCAATGAAAATGTTATTTGATAATGTAAATGTTCTTGGCTTACTTTCTGTACAATGAAAGCGTTATAATTAGTAACAATACAATGTTTTTATTAAATTCACATTAAATACAAAATCAGTCATATTAAAAATATTTTATTACATGACACCCATAAGTAAAGTAAAAAGGGGTTTTATGCGTAGGTAATAGATTACACTTACATTAGGCTACTTGTCCATCGCCCGTTATAGATGCAAAATTAATTTACATATTCGAGAATCAAGATATTTCATGATATAGTTAACAAGTTTGGGAATATTTATTATTCATTATATTTAAAAAAAAAAGGAAAAATGAAATAAAACCAGTTGGCCTACATCGGTTATACAGGACTTTCGTGGCTGCTGTGTGTCACATTAACCAACTTAAGTGTTATTTACAGTTCAGTTATACAGTTTTAGGGCAGATTATAGCAACAACTTTGCAGAATAAAACTTTGCAGAACAGCAAAAGCAAATTACATTTTAATATCATTATTTTACATAATACATGAAACCTCTTTGAAACCCTGCTGTTTTTTATCTTCTTGCTGATGCCAAACCGTTCTGATAATTCCAGTGTTTATGATCTCTTGAGAAAGATTCCCAGTCCTGCCCACTGATTTGTGACAAATTGTGTCAGAATAACAAGAAAAGATGTTTATATGTGTGAAATTAACTGATTTATCAAATTTCAGTCATGTAGGCACTTTCAGTAGAGACACAAACAAGGTCACTGAGGATTGCTATTGTTTTAGAAACATGTATAGACTTGTGCTTAACAAAAAAAAAAACTATTTTAATTCCACCTGTTTATTTTGTAAAGTATGTGGCTTTTAAAAAGGCAATCAACTCAAAATTTACTGAATTTTAAGTCATATTGTGTCAGAATGCAGAATGCATTTTTTTGTTCCTGTTTGTCAGACCAGGCCAGTTACTATCAGTCAAGGAGGCTAAAGCGTACCTGCCCACAGTAGACAGATGTACTCTGCTTGTCTCTTGTCACTTACACTCAGGGGAATGTGATTTTAATGCTTGTGGCAGTGACAGTCTCCCCTTAGATTTAACCTGAAAATATCAGATGCCCAAGCACCATGAGAACTGTTGGCACATATATATATATATGCATTAGTACTTGTGTTAAATGTGTTTGCTCAGTAAATGTGTGTGTATACAATATATGTAATATGTATATTTTTAAAATATATATTTAAGGCTCCTCATTATCCAACACAGTATTCATAGGCTGTTTATTTATTTATTTATAGGCTATTTCCAGTATTTCTTCTGTAAATATGTAAAAGCAGTTTGTTTTTAAACTTTATTAACAGAAACTTGGAGTATTGATATAAATAAATTAACCACCAATTAATTTTGTGATTTCAGAAATGTATGTCCTTCAGTTAAAGTTATTGAGGGGGATTTTATTATTTTTGCGATTTTTACCATATTAATGTATATTTAATATAATATTTTATTCAAAGTTCGTTTTGATATATTAATAACAATTTATTCATTTTAAAATTTTTAGTCATCTTGAGGCCCCCTTGAAAGTTAGATGAGTCTACCTTCAACTCTTGAAGCGTTCATGCGCGTTTCCACTGAATGAAAAGGGGGTTCTGGGCCATATCCCAGGAGGCACGGATTTGTGCTGTGCCACTGTGTGAGAGCGAGACCTGGCATGCAAGAGAGCGATTGAATCAGCAGTTTCAGTTTTGTTATCACTCCAGAAAGGACTGAAGAGAGTACCGGCAGTTATGAGAGCTGTCAGTTCACTAGAATCACTCCCAGGACATGCAGTGTTTGCTTTTTGACTGGTTATAGTGAGGTAAATAACACACAGCAGTGTTGTGTCACCATTCGTTTCTCAAGTCTGTGGAAACACGCAGCTTCAGTTCGCCTGGCCGACAATCCAGAACATGAACTATTCTGGTGGAAAAGGGTACTAGTGGGCCCTGGCCTCCAGGTTGTGACCCACTGATCTAAATGTAGCGTTTTGTGTTGCAGACGTTGGTGTAGTAGTGATCTTCCAAAAGGAGTGTGCGTTCTTGTGTCTTCATCTGTGGATCATGATAACGTCCAGCTGGAAGCAGGATTACGGGCTGTGCTTTTGACATCGCGCATCTTTATTGAGCCATGTGGAATGGGGCGGTCTCGGCTCACGCACTACTGCAGAGCTGACCTACGGTAAGACACTTTATAGATGGTTTGCTACATCACTCAGGCACATTACTGCATGCTTTTTTGGGTCTCTACAATACACTGAACAAAATTTAGCAGGCTTATGTTTACTAATGCTTGTGGCAGTGACAGTCTCCCCTTAGATTTAACCTGAAAATATCAGATGCCCAAGCACCATGAGAACTGTTGGCACAAACCGGGGCTTAAACCATCTGCCGTCAGCTCACCTGCTGAACTGGTCTCTCTTAGATTCAATCTGTGGATCATTTTAATAGAGTTCATTGTGGTGGTCCACTGTGAGACATGCACAGATATGCTCTTCTGATCAGCTCATCATTTTCTAGTATTTCCAAAAACTACAGAACCACTTCCAGAACTTTCAAAGCCATCTGCATTATCGTGTGTTATACTTTCATTATTGTAGTTTTGACCCTTAACATTTAATGCAATTTTGTTTGCAGGTAGGAGACGGGCACCCGATGCGTTTATGGCGCGTTTCGGTGGAGATAGAGGCCCCGCCAGCTGTGGTGCTGCAGCGTGTTCTGCGAGAGCGCCACCTGTGGGATGAAGACCTTCTGCACAGTCGAGTCATTGAGACTTTGGAAAACAACACAGAGGTTTTCCATTACATCACAGACAGCATGGCTCCACATCCTCGTAGAAACTTCATAGTGCTCAGGTACATAGCTGGAAGAAACTACAATTCTTTTAGTTGTGATCAGATTTAGTTGGTTTTTATTGTGCCACATCCATAACTAACAAACTGAGCCATAGCTGAAAAATCTTGAATGTACAGGTTTTCTAATTCAAATTATTGCCATTTAGAACCCTAATAGGATCACATAAGAATCTGCTTGAAAAAAAAATCTAAATTTCTATGAAGATCGTTTTGGGATCCCATTAAGATCCTTTAGGATTGTTAGGTTAGTTATGTTGGGGCGTGTTAGAACGAGCCGTTTTAGGTAGGCGTGGTTGACTCTTAACTTTTATAAAGAATATCTCTTTGGATTTGAGACTTTAGTCTTTGCAACTTTACAGATCTTTATGCACCAAGAGCTTGTAACACTCCAAAGAGAAAGGAAAAATTTAAATCGCATCATATGACCCCTTTAAATAAAGGGCTGTCATTAATTTCAATCTTATGTATTTGTGTCCCACAGGGGGCGCTCTCCGGATTGGTATAATAAAGTGTTCGGTCATCTGTGTGCAATGGAGGTTGTCAAAATACGCAGTTCTTTCCCTGTTCTGACAGCACGAGGACCTGAGACCAAACTCTGAACCCAGTTGGGTTAAATCTAAGACTTTTGTGTATGAGAAAGAATGAGAATTGTGAGAGCACCGGTGTAAATCCAGGGTGACCGTGTAAGTCAGAAGATGGAAAAGTAAGAATAGTAGAGAATGTTTTAAACTGGTTTATTAATGGGTTTGGGAATTAAAAAGAAGACAGTATTGTGTAGAAAAGAAGTTGGACTATGCAAAAAAACAAACAAAAAAAAACCCTGTTGTGGTTTTAAAAGCCATGGATGATTAATGTGAAAAAGCTTAAGCTCACAATCATACTGTTGACGTTGCGTCTAATCTTGTATGTGTGTTTTGTTTGTGTGAGTGTTTATATCTGTTTGTGTTAAGCAGTGTGTCTGTTTCTTTGCCTTAAATTCTTTGTCTAATAATCCGGTGTTGTCTGTCAGACACCTCATTCATTCTCAGGGTAAATGTAAACAAGTTTTGCTTTTTTACTTGCACAGAAATTTTGCCATGTGGCACTGATAATGACCAGCTGGCAAGAGAAGCAGTCAATCACCAAACATGTATAACGTCATAAGACACGGGGTCTGTTGTTATGAGCTCCCTGTGTACTCTGCATTCTGTGCATCATCAGTCCAACACGACAGACATCATAGATACTCCAATCATCTTCTCTGTGGTGCTGTTGAGCAAATGTGACACCCTCTCCACTCATACAGTATATGATAATCTAATGCAGGCCCAATTGAATCAGTCTTTCACGAATCCTGTCCATGGACTTCCGTTCAATCACCACCAGAGGTCACCCTTTCATTAAATTGACTCTCGCACAACACAAACTGTTGCATGTCATCCCGGACTACATATCCCATCAGCCATTGCACTGATTGCACACAGCACTGATTGCACACAGCTGTCATCAATCACACATTCACTATAATACACTCACTCAAACAACCATTCTCTGCCGAGTGTTGCTTAGCCGGTTTTATTCCTAGTTTCTGTTATCCTGCCCGTGTTTCCTTGTTTTGCCTTGCCTTGCCTGTTTTCTCGGTTTCTGATCTTTGCCTGTTTTCCTGGATTTATCCCTCTAGTCTCGCCCCTGTGATTCTGTCTGCCGATCGTTGACCTACGCTAGCCCTAGGACTATTCTTGTGTTTTGCCCGCCATATACCTGTTTGCCATTGTTCGACCCTGCCTGTTATGACCACGTCTCTTAAATAAAAGCTTGCAGATGGATCCACACGTCTCACGTCTCGTCAGCCCCGTTACACAGTCTGACAATTTTCTACATCAGTTATATTCGTGTCCTCAATCCCTATTCTTCCTTTTCCACTACCCCCTTTTTAATTTATTTGCGTCAGCCATTTACATGTGGCAAACTTCATTTGTGAAGTTTTAATAACTTAAGGTCTGCATGGAATCCATGGGAATGATATTCAAGAGACTTTAATACAGCTTTACTTTTTCTTTACTTTTACATTTCTATCTCCTCTAAAGCTAAGATAGTTTTTGTGATGCAATTAGATGATTCTTTTTCTTATTACTGTTCTTAATTGTCTTAACTGCCTCTGAGCAACTAAACAGAAACTTGTGTGTTTGTCTTTTGTCTTATATTTGTCATTAAATCTGTGCTGTTTCACCAGGGCATTATGTAATATCAGTATTTTATTTATTTAAAAGTATAACTGCATGTATGATGTTTTAAATGTTCTGCCTAATAGTGAAATGGTTCAAGTGCCACAATGTGGTTATATGTTCTTTATGTGATGTACAGAACTCTGGTCCATTTACCCATAATGTTTATTGTTTTGTTTGTTATTTTGAATGATAATTCAGTGTTAAACACAGGTGTCATTTTCTAATAATGTTGATTTGATTCCTACATTTTCAATCGTACTCTTGTGTATCGTGCCAAATTAGCCTATGGTGCAATTAGAATAAAGGAGCTTTTCCAAAAAAGTTTCAGTGTTTCTGTTTAGCTTTTAAATAAACCATGGTGTTAAGCCTGAAAAGATAATTTAATTCAACTAATCGGTGTCTTACGGTGTGCAGCAATCCATTTGGACCACATTGGTGTCCTGCTGGCACAAGGTGTTATAGGACACTTAAGGACACAGGTTTGGTTGGCAAACATGTCGGTAAATGTATTTTAGGGCAAGTGATGAATAACTGCCATTTTTTATTCAAGCTGCTTTTCTACAGTATTCGTTCCAAATTTGTTTGATTGTTACAGAGTAATTACTGCATCTGAGTCACAGTCTGGGCTGACAGTCTGCCCTGTCGCAGTGAAAACTCCACGTGAGCTGTCATTTCTCTGGGGAGATAAAGTGCTCCTTATTTTTTGCCTCATTAATTATTAAAGTGTCTAAAATTGGCCAATTATGCTGTGCTGACTAGCAGGCGAGCACCTTTTAATGTTACATGAGAGTGAAATGTTTTTGGAATGGTCAGAAAATACAAAAGACTGGATTGTTTTTGCTTTTTTAAAAAAGGAAATTCAGTTTGTCTCAAATGTTTATAGAGACATTTGAAGCTCTGTCAACTGCAGAAAGTGTTTTTTAAATTTTTTAATTATATTATTGTTGTTTTAGATGGCATCCGCAGAGCATTTTATCATTACAGGTGCTGTAAGTGATTTTTAAATTTATTTTAATTTTTTGTATGGAATTTTGTGCATTAAATTATATCCCATGAAAGTTATCACTGAGCCCTAGTTTCTGTAAGCATGGAAAAATAAAGTGGCCGCATGTCCCATCAGATTCTTTAGCCAATCAGATGGTATTTGTGGCGTTCTGCCTGTCAACTATTTGGCGCGTTCTCAGCGTATAGTCCATATATGGGCCATATAGGAAACTTGGCTTAGAGCTTGGGGAACTTGGATTGTTTTTCCATGAATTGAGGTGCGTAATGACCAGAGGCGAACCAAGTTGAAGTGGGGGCCCCAGGCAAAATTAATAGATGGGGCCCTTCTAAAAGATTATTTTGTTAGTATATCTTCGTTACCTAGATATATATTTATACAACATACAAAAAGTAGTTAAAACACATATAATAGAACATAAATTGTTGTTGTTTTTTAAAACAAAGTGCTTATTCTTTAACAAAATATCAATCTTCATCTTTATGGCAGAAGATACAACTGACAGCCTCTCTTAGTTCATTGTGGACCTGAGGTATGTTTTTATCAGCTTTACTAGTTTTATTAGTTGACAACTAATTATGTTAACTAATTCAATGTAGAAGAGCTAAATAAATAGTCAACTAAGTAAATGTAATATTTATTTATATTGATTTGTGGGCTCCCCACTGGCAGCAAGACACAGATAATGACTATGGACTTAAAGTACAAACTCTAAATGTATGGGTATATTTTTTTTTCAGATGTATCAAGTGAACCAGACTGCAATTTTCAGAGGTCCAACATTTAATGCACACGTTCCTAGTAGGGGTGTGAATCTTCACTGGTTTCAAGATTGGATTCGATTATGATTATCATGTCAACTAGCCTATTCGATTCAGTTCAATATCACAATGCGTCACGATGCGTTGCACCCTCAATTTTCAATATTACTGCCCTACATTTTCTTATACATTTACGTTTTCATATACATTTTATATCAAATTTCTTTTGTGCATTTTTATTAAATGATAGAAGCAGGCTATTCTTAAAATAATTACAGATTAATAATAAATCAAAACAAACTAACACAGCTTCAAAACACAGAAGCAAATATAAAGCAATAAAGGGGGGAAAAGACAATTACAAGTGATAAACAAAACGTACTTTCAGTATCTAAAGTATCCGAAAGTTTACAGACAATCATAATTATGGGTTTTTCTTTTTCCCTCAGCATTGCTGTTTGATTATTACTGATAGCATCATAGATAGTCGCAGCTTTAATAGGCTGCATTCACATTAATGCACAGATCTATTTCGACACATCAGATGTTTTGCATAAAGCATCCCCTCAGTAAAAACACCATTCCCCATACCATCCCCTTTGGATTAATAATGTGTATTATGTAAAACTTATCAATGCAAATGAAATGTTAAAATTATCTACTTAAGATAATTCACGAATAACGGCGATTGGCCAATCAGAACTCGGTTCTGTAACACGCTGCGCACAAGCGGAAGCAAGTTTTCGTCATTTTTCGCGCAAAATTATGTTAACTAATTCAATGTAGAAGAGCTAAATAAATAGTCAACTAAGTAAATGTAATATTTATTTATATTGATTTGTGGGCTCCCCACTGGCAGCAAGACACAGATAATGACTATGGACTTAAAGTACAAACTCTAAATGTATGGGTATATTTTTTTTTCAGATGTATCAAGTGAACCAGACTGCAATTTTCAGAGGTCCAACATTTAATGCACACGTTCCTAGTAGGGGTGTGAATCTTCACTGGTTTCAAGATTGGATTCGATTATGATTATCATGTCAACTAGCCTATTCGATTCAGTTCAATATCACAATGCGTCACGATGCGTTGCACCCTCAATTTTCAATATTACTGCCCTACATTTTCTTATACATTTACGTTTTCATATACATTTTATATCAAATTTCTTTTGTGCATTTTTATTAAATGATAGAAGCAGGCTATTCTTAAAATAATTACAGATTAATAATAAATCAAAACAAACTAACACAGCTTCAAAACACAGAAGCAAATATAAAGCAATAAAGGGGGGAAAAGACAATTACAAGTGATAAACAAAACGTACTTTCAGTATCTAAAGTATCCGAAAGTTTACAGACAATCATAATTATGGGTTTTTCTTTTTCCCTCAGCATTGCTGTTTGATTATTACTGATAGCATCATAGATAGTCGCAGCTTTAATAGGCTGCATTCACATTAATGCACAGATCTATTTCGACACATCAGATGTTTTGCATAAAGCATCCCCTCAGTAAAAACACCATTCCCCATACCATCCCCTTTGGATTAATAATGTGTATTATGTAAAACTTATCAATGCAAATGAAATGTTAAAATTATCTACTTAAGATAATTCACGAAT